GTACTTGTTCGGAGATTCCGTGAGAGGAAGCCATGCTTATCAGTCCACTGCGGAGCCTTCAGGTGAGAATGAGTCTGAGAGGAGGAAGAGGGAGAAGGTAAGGAGAGAGAACAAAATGCCATGGATGGATGAGTACTGGGGAGTCCTTCAACCAGAACCAATATACTCAAGGACTCAAAGGTGGTACGTCATTGATGACTTTAAGGAGGGTGAGGAAATTTGCTGCGATTACTGTCTGTTCTGCAATCCCATAGACTTCGAGTTGAAAGACGATTGCTATACGGAATGCATCAACGGAGCAGCAAACAGATGCCGTGGGATGTCCGCAGAAGACTACGTCCAGAAGCGATTTCATGCATGTGCTCGATTGCTTCACAACTTCGGCATGGGGCAAACGGTATCTTCTCCCACCATCGTAATCTCCGAGATGAACCCGCACGATGACTTGATGAAGTTTTTACACGAGGCGATGATCATCTTCAATGAGAATCCAGGTTTCCAGAAGGAGATTTCGTTCTTCGGGGGGATCAGGTTGTCATCAACAATGACGGAGAACTTCTTCAAAACGAGGAGAGGACCCAGCATCCATGTGGAAAAGCAGAAAATCGGCAGCGCCAAGTACTTCCAGGGATCCTATGACCTTGGCAACGTATGCTACACCAAATACCTCAAGACCATACTGGAACCCGATGTATTCCGCACTATATTCGGAGATGATCCCACGGAGGAACGGGTAGGTGACATGGTGGAAGCGCTGCTGGGCATGTTCGAAGTTGCTCAACTTTTCAGGCACATGTTCAGGAGATGGGGTGACATCGAAGCTTTGAGGACGGGATTAGAGGAATCCATCAAACGCGTCACTGCATCGCTGTACGACAGGACAACATATGAGAACCGAAAGCGATCGATGATTAGAACCATGGACCCGCACTCTGATGAGGCGGCAAGCGTGGCGCTGATTCTCGTCCGCATGAGGACTATGCCGCTTCCTGAATTCGACATCGACCACTTCTTCGAAATCGGAAAAGAACCAGAACAGGGAACAGGAGCCACTGGCGAGCCCGAGGCCGAAGGTGTCGATATGGAGACTGAATGTGTACAGGAGAAGGAGGAGCAAGATGTTGACATGTCCGACCCGAAGACATCAATACTGCATGCCATCGACGAATTTGAGAAGAAGATCGGGCGGGCAGAATTCTGCATCCACTGCATGGAGTCGGGACACACAACTCTCAATTGCGAGAAGACCCTTTCATCCTCACCTACAGTCACCTCGGTGTTGAGTGATTGGAAGAAGAGAGTGAAGGGAGAGGTTGCACCCGACGATGTACCATCAGGACATCCAACCGAACAGCCTAAGAAGAAGAAGCAGAGAGCGTCGCCCACTCCAGACAGAAAGGTCGACAGCGAGTTCAGGCGCAAAGAAATGTTAAAAGCAAGAGTCGTGACAATGTTCGACCATGACGGATTCACCTTGATCGAAAGTGCTGATGGAGTCGAAGGAGGACCACATTCCTACAATGGGCGGAAGCTTGTGGAAGCAGGCCCTAAGGATATGAAAGAGGTGTATGAATTTGTCGAGAAGGCATTTGTGCACTCCAGTTCCCTCACACCAAAGGCATGTCATCACTTCTATCCCCTACCAACACGGAGGGAGAAGGGATACAAGCCGATCGACCCCATGACGATGGTCGGGAAAGTTGAACTAGTACCGATCAACGGAGTCACTTTCGCTGCAAAGAACTCCGACTACGGCAACCACAAGTATCCGACTCCAGACTGTCGAGTACGTGAATACAGCCAAACGAGCCAGGCCCTGAGTCGTCGATTGGGAGCGAAGTTGAGACATCGAATTGGACGCCAGTTCAGGACAGGAGGAAGACTCGCACCAATCAAATGCGATGAAGGCGCATGGGTGTCATGGGAAGACCTGTTAGGTGATAATGCAGTTTGGGAAGACGGTTATCACTACGGCAACATAGATATCGTGACCAAGAAGGCACGTTTGGAGAAGTACTTCGACCAAAACTATGAGTGTTTCCGCATGACCAAGAGGGTCAGATTCCAAATGTTAGCGGTCCGTGTTCACCCTGATGAACTCAATGAGCCTGATGACCCGATGGAGAAGGGATGGATTAACGAACTCAAGGACATGGGAATCTCTAAAGGAAGACTCCACCATAGCGATGGATGGTGCTTTCCCGTGGCTGTAAGAGCAACCTCGGCACACTCAACAGACGGCGGAGGTTATGACGTTACCATTGACATCGACCACATTGGGTCGAGAATGACCAACGACATGGCCCTATCTATGGTGACTGCATTTCACGCTACCAATCTCGGAGCGCTGACTTCAATCATGCGACGAGGGCTAGTGCCGGGAGGTCTCGGTTCATCGGGAAGGGATTCTATCCACTTCACATGTTTTCCGCCATGGGCCTGGGAACAGGGCTACAAGGGTAAACCTTGGCTGGGTCGTAAGGTCGCAATGAGGGATCGCCCAGTGGTTCTCTACATTCCGGTGTGGAAGCTGCAGGAGTACGGACTTCTCATCTCGGCGACTGGGTCTCTATTGGTTGAGAACGTCGTTCCCTTCGATGAGGTTAAAGGGGCATGGTTGCAATGCGACAATGCGGAACCCGGACAGCCTGAGAAGATCGAATGGATCCGGTTACTCAGTGGGGAACCCGACCCTGGAAGCTACCTTGTTCTAGAGTCCAAATACGGAAACCCGATCATGATTCCACGCTTTCAAAAGCTTGAGAGCTTAGCGGTTGAGGTTCAGGACGATACCTACTCCGAGGACGACGCCAAAATCTTAAAGCTGTTGGGTATGATCGAGGAGAGTGGTGTTTACCCAGAGTATGATAACACCGAATGGCAGGAACTCTTCGAGGAGATCGTGTACCGCCGAGCGATGAAAGACTATGATTCAAGGCCGTGTCCTAACTGTCTTGGCGAAGTCGATGTGCGATTGACGATATGTCCGCACTGCGTAGCGGTTTTGATCGCGAATGGGAAGCTCACACATGTGGTACCCAAGGAGACAAGGGACCGCAATCAACGATCACCTCCGAAAGATGTCCCAGCCAGTTCTTCCGGTGAAACAACCTCTGCTGCAGGTGCAAACATCGATGAAGTCATCAAGAACGCACGCAAGACAGCCGAAGAGGTCATTGAGATCGAGGAATCCGAAGGAGAGGAAGAGGAGGAAGTTCCTATCATTTTGAAGGAACGACCGGACGAAGCTGAAGGCGAACCCGAGTATCGGGAGGTCCCTCAAGATGGATACGGGAATGAACTTCCGAAGCCTTTCCCCTTCGCAATTGACGAATTGCCGCAAGAAGCTGCGATCCCCATCGACCACAACTTTGCCGTCACACAGCAATTTGATCTGAGGTTGATGAAGTTGATCAAGGGCTTGGCCAACGCAACGTTCGACATCAACTGCTTTGAGAGTCGTGAAGATGTACTGCGAATGTTCGACGATGGACAGCGGCATGACACTCCGCACAATAGATGGCCAATAGTACCGAAAGATCCGGATACTGGGTTTCCAAGACGTCTCAAGAGAGCCGAGGTCGTAGGCATGAGCAGATGGACCGACGACGTGTTTGCAGCAGAAGCGTGGCAGATCTATGAATTCCACGCCAACGTTGTTCATCCGATGATGATCACTGCAATCCGCTGCGGGCTTAGCCACAAGTACCTCAAAGAGGTCGGCAACACTCAGCGTAGCATGAGTGATCCAAAGGCTCGAAAGTCTGAGACCCAGGATGAGATCATCGAGAAATTGGCATTCATCTCAAATTTCATCAGACGCATGATCAAGAAGACCTTCGGAGCGAGCCAATATAGTTACTACCAGAAACCAGATGACGAAAGTGCCGCTCCATACAAATTCATCGACATTAGTCCCGCCATCAAATCGGAGAGGAAGAATGTCACGAAGGAGATCCTCGTTGCATGCCGCTACTATGGCATAGAGGTATCCGATATCCAAGCAAGGAAATTGAAGTCCTTCGAGGAGCAGATCCGAGCGGGAAATCCAAGGAACGTTGAGCTCATCAAGGACTACATTGGATTTGTCGGCGCTGACTACATGCGACAACTCACGAATGGTTGAGCATTGGGGTCATACCGACATGCCACTTCCGGTACTTCAAGTACTGAGGGATCTCGGGTAATTCATGATGACCGTTTTGGCATCATGGGAGTGAGATAGGATTGTGTCTCACACCGTTGGTAATCGCATGATACCATAGGTAGGTGCACGTTTTCCGCTTGTAGCTCCATTGCCTGTCTGATCCAACTTTCAAGCGAATGCAAGATTTTTTGCTAATTCAATTCAATAGGACATACTGGTTGACCTCCAATACACTTTTGAGAACGTGATTCGTTCTCCGGTTTTTACATCCACTCATCTCCCTTCCCCGTCGAAGTACGGATGTGGGGGGTGTCAATAGGGATGGGGTCCCAGTATAGTCGCTATACAGGTACATGCCATATACTTTTGGCTCAAGTGCCCAACCAGGTAAAAAGGAGCTTTAGCGCGCGAGCTTCATGTTGACCTAAGAGCTAGAACGGGGCCAGGGCACACCTTTCCATCCGTTCACATATGTTGTATGTACATATGTATGCCATATGTATGCCGCATCCGCCTGCAAAGACTGGTGATAGACCTATGTCCTATAATGTGTTTCATGGAACCGTTGGGTTTTCCCATGAAAGGACCTTTCTCACATACCAGTGATGGCATGAACCCGTCACGCTTCACCCTCGGACTCCGGTCGTCGCGGCGAGGACCCTGCGGAGCGCCGCTTGAAGCTCACCACGGAGCTGAACAACGGGCGCTTGGCGATGGTGGCCATGACGGCCATGCTGATCCAGTCGGGGTGCTTGGAGCCAACAGACGAGCCAACTGCTATTGATTTACTATTTATATAATCATGCTTTTGTTTCATTGGAGATGAATTGGATCCTCTTCCGTAGGGTTTGATATGATTGTAGCCAGACCGTTAAGCTTTGACATCTACGAGAAGCTCCGTGCGTTGCTTGTAGAGGCTTTTGAAAGCCTGGACAAGAACGATCTATTGTAGCCCTCCACCATTGAAAGAGTTGACACCAAATGTACTATGAACTGATCACAGTACTGGAGTTGATCCGTGTATGTGAACTGATCACAGTCCGATTCTTGTGGGTACTGATCACGTCTCTATACCGACTTCTTGTGTGATGAACATCAATATATTATTGGTTGATGCCTTGATGTCGCGGGAGACCCGGAGAGTTGCTTCCTGACCCCAAACCTAAGCTGCAGACTCCGCAACAGACAGACTAAGACTGAAGAGTATTATTCAAGTTCCAACTACTGTAACATTCATCGATGTGCCCTGACTCACTGACGTTGTGCAACCTGCGGTGCGTGATATGCGTTCGTTGTCGCACGTGGCTAAAAAGCCACAGCAGGAATGGTCTCACCGGACAATCGCCCGTGGAGCAGCTCACCAGCGGCCACATCTCGCCCTTCAATGATGGCCACTTGGGCAGACGCTTTCTTTTGGTGCGTGGTGCTTTCTTTGTTTGGTGACGCTGACAAGTGACAGACCAGACGCTGTGCTTGATTGATGTGAACAGTATTGAACAGATATTCTTCTATGTCCTTTCCCAACACATCATGAAATCCAATGATGTATACGGTATGTAATATATATATATAGCCATTACTATTATATATATCAAGTGTTTTGCATTGCTTGGCCAAGCAAAGGATCAGATACTAGCTTGGATACAGCAATATACAGCAATATCGTTCCTCAAAGTCCCAGTCCCACAGTCCATGTTCAGGATAGCTGCAGTAAAAAGGAGGGTGAAATACTCACGCAAATGAACAGCGTCGCAATTTTGAAGCGAACAGCGAACGAATCGTCAAGTGAACAGGGAGATCTCCGGATCTCATGGTCACCCACACCAATCATTGCCAAAAGAAAGCACTTAGTGACTCCTATAGTTACTGTATGCTAGTTGGTGGTATGTTGTTGCAGAAGATCCAGCCTAGAAATGAAGTTAAGCCCTGATCAGATGTCAGGTGTTCAGTGTTTGTGCTCGCAGCTCCCCCACCCCTTCCATGTGGTGTCCATCCCATTTGTTCCACAGGTGTCCACATAGTCACACTCCCATCGACCCCTTCGGCTTCCATGCCGGGGGCGGTCACTCGAGCCTTTTTCCGCTAGGCCAGGGCTTCTTTGCGTTCGATGCCTCCAAGGTCCGCTCAGCCGTGGCCCTTGGGTCGGGTGACGAAGCGCGCTACTGGCGATGCCGGTAGCGTCCCCGTAGCGATGCCGTTCGTAGCGAAGGCCCTTATGGCAACTGAAGAGAACTGTTACTAGGATCCTAACCCGGAATTGGCTGAACTGGACCGTGGAAGGAAGTCAGCTTGAGATGAGCCTGCGGGTGTTCCAAAGACGCAAATGGCAACATGTTCCGATACTTGGTGGAAAAGTCATCCCCTCGGATCAGTTCTTCAATCTGGTTGATGAACTTACTGAACCAAAGTCACGGCCGTGGACATTTATCTTTGACTCGATATTTGTATGGCTTCAAACAATTTGTTCACTTGGATAGCAAGCAGATGGACAATGATATATCACGGACCATCCATGTATGGAATAATCAGTTATATGGTGTAAATATATATAGCTCTTCCATACGTGGATGATGGTTTGGGTAAAGAATGGGTTGGAAAGAATCCACTCAGTGGTTGGATCGGGTTCCACCACGCTTCAACGCAGGAAGCTGAATCCCTGAACCTTCACGGACTTGGGAAGGTTGTTTTCGTTGCTGACAGGAATTTCCAAGGATGTGCTTAAGCACACCTGACCTGACTCCCCAATCTTTTTGGCGCTTGATAGATACATGTGCGCACATGTTTGGCCGCTATGTATAGAAGCAGCCTAGTTCTTTTTGTTCTCTCATCTTCTTGGTCTATTTGCCCCGCCACTGGGGGGTTCGGAGCCGCCCAAGTGCCCCAGACGCTGCGCAGGAGCTGGGTGCATGCCCTCCCTTGGGCTACTGGGATCCCTTTGGCATGATGGCCTTCCAGGCCGGTACACTGCAGTTCAGAACGCTTCAGAAATAGCCTATGGGTTGGCTCGCCAAAACCAGTGGTACGATCGTTCATCGTATTCCTTTGAGACATTTGGATACCATTTTGGTGTGCATTTGCCGCATTGGCCATGGCGGCGGGTCAAGAAGTTTCTCTTTGCCACCTATCCTGGTGTAGATCGCGCCGCGGGGCACAGGCCCACGGCCAGCCACGGCCAGCGTGCTGTTGGTATTCTTGGTCCGTAAAATGACCTACAGGCACTGGCCACGCAATCATGGAAATGGAATGAAATGGATGGTATAGACCTAGACTGGACCCTGGAAAGACCATCGATGTTCCTTTAGCAACCAGGGGTTGTGCCATGTTGTCCCACTTCCATGTTTCTTGGAGGGGGAGGGTTTGTTCCTCCAACAGATGTGCCCATCTCCCTTTGGGACACCCCCGGTGCTCCAGTGGAATCACACGACCCGAAGTCCGAGGGATGGATGCTGATTTTGAGGGTAGACGATCAAGTCATATTTGAGGGGTCTTGAAGATGAATCGGGAGAGGGTGAAACCGCCAAAGCTGACATACCGGACCGCTGGGATATGCAAACATAAGTAATATATCTATTATATACAGTACGGTTCTTCAAAAACTCCTCCTTCGAATAGAATGAATAGGGTAAATTGTTGTAAACACATGTCAATGTATGTATATGATTATATGACACCCAATGCTTTAGGTTCAATAAGATGTGTGTGTGACATATAGTGACCTCAAAACGATGGACGTCCAGTTGGTGAGATTGAAGATGTGCTAGATTTTATTTGTTGGTTATTTTTTTTTGCAGACATTCAGACAGATTTAACACATTTGGTGACCAAGATATCAAACAAAACTCATACCAAACTGCACATGTGAAGGCCCTCATTTGAAGGGGCCTCCAACAACTTGTCTTCCTTTTCCGAGGACGAGGAGAAGTTCCGCAGGAACCGTGAGCTGGAGTTGAAGCACGGTCGAATTTGCCGCTCAGCGGAGAAGCACCGGCGAGACGCACGGGCGTTTTGTGTGATGGTTCAGGCGTTTTGGTTCAGGCGGATGGTTTAGAAGAGGTGATCAGGCATGAGAAAAGGCAGCTATGTAGGAACTTCGATCTACAGTTGGAAGTGGGCCAATGGAGATCTACCGTGGACAAATGTTAGCTGGTCAGCTGGTCTTCCCAAAGTTTGTTCTTGGGAAGATCATTAAAAAGCGCCATGATATCGGTGGCTCAGTAATTAATACTGAAACTTTTTGTGTTGTCTATGATTTTTGTCAATGGGCCAAGATAAACCTTCATGGTGTGTACTGTGTACAGTTTTGCGCTTTGGGGCAGACAGTTTTTCTCGGCGGACCGTCGCCGAGTAACTGGGGTCTCCTCTTTGCTGGGTTTTCATCATTTTCCAAGAGAGGTTAAGTGACCTTATAGGACCCTACTGGGGTACCTATGGGATAGTATGGGATAGTCTATATGGGAGTTGATCGAAAACCCAGTGTATATAAGGAGTTTTATATAAAACAGTCTTTCAGATTTTGTTAAAGTTAGAATCATCCGCAAAAGATTCGCGATGAGGTTCGCGAAAGTATCTTGTTTTTTTCCGCGAAAGATTTATCGAAGGTCATCGTTTTCATTGTTTTCCTTTCTGCCGGACTGACAAAGAATAGAAACGCAAGGCAATCCTCCGGCAGAGCCAGTGGGCGGAAGTGTCTCCATATGTCACAGACTAACGAACTGAAGCCTCAACATTTCCGTGCCCAGCCCTGGCAGTGCGTAAAGGATTCTCCGATTCCTGTCCCCACTGTCACAGACTAGCAATCTGGGTAGGCACAGCCCTGACAGTGAGGCAACGACCTGCAGCTGCTCTGACGGGCTGTGCGGGTGTTTGCAAATGTTACGGCTTCCCGGGGAAAGCACCAGTGAAATTTGTGCGAAAGATCCGCGGAAGTTTTGCGAATGTGCCGCTAAGTCTAGGTTCCCAGCTTGAGGCCCCCCAACATTCCCCAAGCTGCATCACCCTGTGTTGGTAGCTGGCACGAGGATTGGGTTGAGTTGTGCATGACTCTACTTGGCACACTTGTCGCAAAGATGCTGCAAGTGACCCTGAGTAGCTGTGGAAACGTTCAACCATCTACTTGGGTCATGCTGCAAGATGTCTCTCCCTATTTTGTGAACTATGACTATGACATGTTCCGGCTCATGTTAGCTAGACATGGTTGTAGGACCATGCTTCGTGATGAGGCCGCGAAAGATCCGCGAAAGATATCTTTTTTTTCGCGATGAATGGCCATTCCAGGATGAAAGAATATTGATCAACCACCCTATAGTGTATAGGCGAAAGATGGCTATAGGGTTCTTCAACCTCTGTTGGTTCCGCCCCGTTCCGCCCCGTTCGGCGTTTGGGTGTTCGTTTTTTAGTTCCTTTCGCCCCCGGTCGACCGGTCGACCCGGTCCAGGCATGGTGGCCACCATTGGAATGATCGTGCCTGACCTCTTTGGCCGCTTCGGAGGAGACCTGTCGCCCTCCATGGGCCTGACCCTTGGCCGCCAGAAGGAGAAAAGGCGGAAAGGACGTGCTGTCATGCATAGACGTTTTGCAAGTGATAAACCTGGGAATTGAATTGTGGCCATGTACCTGTCACCCGGGATTTTGCTACGCCACGGTGTCACGGAGTGCCACCAGTCGTTGTGTTTTTGCCTCAGCAGCGCGGGGATCAGGGGATCCGCAGGCGTTGTGGGATCAGCGACGACCGAGCAACAAGCGGTCCGGGGGATTTAGAGGTGAATACGGTTCCTTTTTGGGCTACCCTACACGGTTCCGGTGACTACCCTACAATTTAAAGAAGGATTCTGGGAAACAGCCCCGGAGACTTTTGTGAATATCTATATATAAATGAAAACAAATCCAATACATATATATATATATAAATACAATGTTGATCAAATTTGTATGCAACAATAGTTTGAGAGCTCTTGAGAATAGGTTTTGCAGTTTTTGCACCTTGACATAAATCTTTGACGCCATCAAATGGGAATGGTTTCATGGAAATTCTTGCCAGAACAATAACTCAGCGGACATGCTGATTTGCAACCATCCCAAATATGTGGGCCATTTGGGTCATGCACACGGGCTGAGAGTTCAACGTGATATTTTTTTGCTGCCAGCCTTTACCCATATTGGTCCCACATTGGCCCCTTGGGATCCTTGGGCTTCGGCGACCTTTTCATCCAGGGCGGGTCCATCCGTTCACAGTCGAACCATGGCTGCGACGTCTGACGAAATGGGTTGCGACTGGTTGGCCACTCAGACGCGAAACTGGACCAGTCGTCGACGTCAACACCTGTGGACACCGGCGCTGTCTCTCAGGAAGTTCTCCGATATCCCCTGCACCATCGAGGTGGGTGAACTGAGTCAAAGTCGAGGATGAAGGCAATTCTTGAAGCATTAGCAGCTCATTAGCTTGTGAGTTGGTCCGTAAAACCTTGGCATTTGATGGCATTTGGCTGTTGCACGACTCCTTAAATTTTATCCGCAAGGGGCCAAGAGAGTTGGCGTTCGTGCTGTGACACATGAAGCATTTTTGTGCTAAGCCACCCCAATAAGATCTTCAGAAGATCTCTCAAAGGGTTTGCTGGTTCTGGAAAACAAGAACCGATCTCCGCTCTGCTTCCAAAACCAGCTCAGCAAGTCCGACTTGTCCCAGTCGGACGCTCTCCAGGCCATTTACAAGGTCCCGGCGGCCGGATGGCTCCAGGTTTTTGCCCTGGCGGGCGCCATCGAGGCCGGAAGTAAAGACCAAGAGTACCTAAGAGGCCTCGAGACCATCGGGCTCGGCCAAGAGGGCTCTTGAGCTCCAAAAAGTCAGAGAGTCGCTTGGAAGTTGCATGTTCATGTGAAATCATGCTTGTTCTACTTTTCAAGAGATTAAGATACGGATGAACAGATGATGCTGTGACGTGTATATAGATCATGTATACATGATGAAATTTATATAATATACAGTATATATATACAGTTTGTAGACCATGTATGAAATATGTGATATTGTATGTACAGATTATAGAGCATTGTAGACACACTACTATACTACTAGAAGATGTGTGGAAAATTATGGTGAAATGATGGGACGTGATGCTTGTTGGGTTGGCTAGAAGGGTGATGTTGTTTATGAATGCTGCTTTGTTTGCGTTTGTCAGTGAACACAATACAATAATTATATAAATAACTTTATATATGTATAGTATACAGTTTCTTTTTTCTCCCAATGACTTGCGAAGATCTTCGACGCCAAGAGGCGACGACCCACAGGTCCGTCCTAGGTTTGTTAAAGAATCGAAGCCCGGTCCGGCCTCAAAACAACCCCTTATCAAACAGTGTTTGAGAACCTCCCAAGCTCAACATGGAGCGGATATTTCATGGACACCTCGAAGCTTAAGTTGGACCATGTTTTTTTCCAACAAACCAGTGGTTTGCACTGGCAGTCCCTCTCGGTCCAGCTTTTGGAAGAACTACCAAGCCGCATACCTGTTAGTGGAACTTACATTGAAGACTCAAACATGCGAACACCATGTCGTGTTGATCCTGGCTCCATGATGCCATTTGAAGTAGCAGTTTGTGTACTTGGCTTCAAAGTCCATAAGGAAACCTCACTGGAGATCATTCCATCATTCATCCAAACAAATTGAATCGCTCCCCCCTAAGCTCGTTCTTTGCGAGGCGAAGAACTTGGCTTTCCCCACGAACTACGGCTACCCACCATTCTGGGGGCAGATCGACAAGCTGGAGCCAGAGGATGGAAAGTCGCACGCTCGAAGTTCCCATTCACATGCCCTTCAATAGAATGTTGGCTGTCTCAGCCATTTGTAAGGGAGGGTTAACCTTGTTTAACGATGTTCACGAGAAATCCCAGTGAAATGGATTTTTGATCGAGGTCTCGATGGTGAGTCATATGGGGTGCCTCATTTCATGTCATTTCACTGGTGATCGAGGCTTGAGTTGAGGTTGATGCAAATCTTCATACGGATCGGTGACTGTTCAGATCACGAAGGAAGCATAATGCGATTAATGGGGTTTATTGTAAGTGTACAGGTTCTTGCAGAACATTGTGGAAGATAAACCTAGGTACCCTGATCAGTCTCTCAAGGATTTTGGCTGTGAATGCTAGTGGTTTTCTGCCCGACCTGAAGAGGAGAAGCAGAAGAAGCTTCTGGCTGAGATCAACAATGGCCGTTTGGTGCGGGCCCAACGACACGGTGTCCAACGTCCAACGACATGGTTCAAGTGAGGAATGGGAGGCGTTATATAGTTATCGTTTTGGTCAGGGCAGGGCAACATAGTTTTCTTTCATTGATATAATATATATATACACGATGAAGTTTGATGGCTGAAAGACCCTCCTTGAATTGTGTTTGACAAGCCTATATCTTCCGAGATCCAGATACCTTTCGGGCAAGACATTTGCTTCGCGCTGGGGACCAGTCATTGAAATCGGTGACCGTGGTTTCTGACTGTTTCTGTTTGTTGTCGCTTGGGTTTGATTGTGCCATCCAAACTAGAACATACTAGAACATGTTTTTTGAAAAACGTCACTCCGGGACTCCCACTCTTCGCTTCAAATGGATCAGAAGGGTCCAAACCATGTCCAAACATGTCGAAACAGTTGCCTTCACTTTTGCTTTTGGCAGCGAGGTTTTAGTCCGTCCCGTTGTGTCTTCGGCACTGGAACAATCAGATCGCCATCGCTGGCACATGCTGGAGGAGGTCCATTGGCAGTAGTTCTTTAGCCTCAACCCACATCCCTTTGGCCTTTGGCGTGGTGCAGGTGATCGTCCAAGTTCATGATCAGCAAAGACAAGCTCCATGGTAGATTTCGCCAAACATGCTTGAAACCAAGTTCAAATTAACCCACCAATCCCAATGAACATCGGGATTCGAACCAGGCACCGATCCCTTTCGCGTTTCCCTTCGCTTGTTGGTCCGATCTGTCGCTCGTGCTCCGAGGCCATGGTGGCCATGGCAGCCATTGTGGCGCAGAACGGCGCCACCGGGCAGTCCTTGGTGGAGCAGTTCACCACAGGACCAGTTCACACCGAGAGTTCCGCGGAGCCATCAGAGTGTGTGCGAACATGTTGTTTAATGCTCTTCTCTCATCCACCCGCTTCCGCTTCCAAGTATTTTCTTGTTGGAGGATTGGTTTGTTGGCCTAGGCCTTGGCCGCGAAATGAACTGTTCTGCATGCAGATGGGTCTTCATAGTGGCAAGAAACTCCTACAGATCTAGGATAGGTTGATCCACAATTCCGCCGTGTTATCATTTGATCAGGCAACCTGAACCCATTCATCGGCGGCTATGCGCAGAAGGACTGATTCACGGCTGGCGGATAGGCTCTGACTTCTCTTGAGGGTGGGCTGTTAGAACAAAAACAAAACAATATCTTTTTGAGGGGACTGCACATGGATATTGCAAGAGACCTCATTCGTTTGATTATAGTTTGGTGATGTTTGGTGTTTCTGAGAGTTGGATTTCCTCCATCACCGCTGGTAGAAACTGCAGCTGCTCTTACTCGCCCCATGAGTGACCACACTGACGGAGACCCATGCTCATCAAGCACCAACGCACCAAAAATCCAATCGCCTCCAGTCGGATTCCTGGGGACGACAGAGAAAAAGCTCCATTTCCTAAGTAGATAGCAGCGGGATGAAGCGGGAGTAGCTACAAAGTGTTTGAAAGGAATCATCACAGGCCGGTGTCAATTTTGACCCAGTTAGCAGTGATGCTGGGTGAAAGTTCAAAAATAATACCTCCTGGTTTGGGGAGTTCAGCACATGGCCAATTTTCGCCACGTGCAAACACATATGGTTGACTCCATGAGTTGGGTATTTTCCCAACCCATCAATGAACAAAACATGCAACCATGTCCAAATGGTTTGGAAGCGTTGGGCGATCGTCAGTCCCAAGGCGCTGAGAGTTGGTCCTGCAGCGGAGGTGAACTGATTTGATGCATAAAGACGTCAGTCTTGGGATAAGGTTGTCGGGCTTTGCGACCCAACATGCAGTCATTTCCTTTTCTAAAAGGATTTCAGCTCCACGACCTTTAGAGAAGAACTTGGAAGTTCCCTCCGAGGATGAACATGAAGACGGCTAACTTTGGCGAGTTCGATTATTTGATCACACAGAGGCGGAACAATGCTGCATTTTCTTGAGGAATAGCCTTGGAAACCCTACCGTGCGCGTATTTGTTGAAGCCCTCCATAGAAATTCAGGCTCATCCACCATCCAAGAAATGAGACGGTCCAAGGCACCTTTCTCGGGCTCCTTTGGATCAGATACTGTACCATGCCGCCGCCTGCTAAGGCAGCCGGCAAGAACCCGACTGCACCAGACGACTCCCATAAACTAACCGGAGCTTCACGTGAGTTCAACCAGTTGAGACGAGAAGGTCCCTGCATGGAACACGTCATCTTCCAGATCTAGCCGAATCTGGGCCCCCAAGGTGAAGGTACGTTTTACGTCAAGGAGAACTAAATGGATGATAATGAACCAGTGACAAGTCGTGGATCCCTGCCTGTGTCCATCAGGTTTGAGATGTCAAAATATCTACAACTCCCCACGCGCCACGAACAATTTTACAGGAACCCTATCTTTGCCAAAACAATTGCCTGAAATCGCCAGGAGCGCACTGATCGAATGAGCATGTGGCCTGGCGGCAGGATCCAAGGGATCCACAGGTGTCAGATCGGATTCACCATATCCTACCCATCATACCAGGTCTGGAGCAGGTCTTTCACAGGTCTGCACCCACCAACAAAACCGCAACGCAGTGCTATAGATAGACCATGATAGACCCATATTCCTATCAGGGTGGTGAAAATAGACTGACCATGGATGTTCCATCCAAGAACCACCCGCTGACTCGGGTGGTGCGCACGAAGTCTCCGCGCTGAAGCTGTGGGACTTTCGATTAGCGGCGATTAGCGGCGATTGGCCGGGAGTCCGGGGTGCTTGGAGTCGTATTTGGGGGCCTTTTTGGGTGTCGGCGAAGGCGGACATTTGAATCACATGGCGCCTAAAGACAACATGATACAGTGTATACAAAAATAGTTCTAGATATCATTTACATTTTTGTTTCAGATAGGGCTGCGGCTGCGTAGCTGTAAACATTAGACCACCCAGTAGACCAGCGTGTATTGCTAGCTAGTGCTCCTTGCCTTCTTATGGGTTTAGTCCCCAAATCAGAAAATGATGGCATGAGCTTAGTCAGGGCCCTTCCTGGGTATCCCATGGTACCAATCAGGTAAATCCCACCAAAGGAGAAAGTCGAACCTTTGACAGGAACCAACAGTTTCGCCATTATTTTAAATAGCTTCACCGCCTGTTTCCTATGAAGTATAGCTAAAGTAAGGTGACTAGACTGTGGAGTTCTTCCCACCTTTTATATCCAAGAAGGCACCAAAATTCCCAGTTGGACTATATATGTTTTTGAAATTTGAAATATGTTTTGACAAAAACGGAGCGATGTTGTATTGCTGTGACATCAACTGGGCAGGGGGCAGTGACATACTTCCCTTGGCAGGCACGCCCAATCGGACTTCTTCTTCAGTGGGTTCCGAGCTCAGAAATGTTCATTTCGGTTCGGCAGGATGCCTGACATGCACAGCGAACGCATCACGCGAGGGTCCTTAGATACATCCGGATACCTGCTCATGGCACAGGGCCAATGTTGATTGATTGGGTTTACCGACAGGCTCCTTTGCAAAAGACAGGGCAAGTGCTCCTTCATGTTCCGTTGCACCTTGGAAGTGGTATCAAGACAGTCCAGTTGGTTTCAACACTCTTTGTAATGCCAAGCAGCCACAAGAGGCCCATCAGCCCAGGGTGACAACGGGCCAAAGGGTTTTATCATGTTGTTTTTATTATGTTTGTTTTTTTCCAGTCCAAGTAGACCTACCGTGAAGTTCATGGCTTCTGCTATGCATTTGGTCGGGTCCAGCCCAGCTTGTAGGGTCCGAACTCCCAGGTCTTCTTGGAACTACTCTTTGACTGAGGATATTTTGTGATGTAGACTCTTCATTTTTACAAATATGTAGCATGATGTGCAGGATGCATGTGTATACATTATATTTGCTTTCATGTGCGGGCTGGAGGCACGTTCTATGATCCTGATCTTCGATGGCCTCATTCGGTCCTGGGCTAGTATGAGCCCGTAAACATTTGTATACTAAAGGGTCAAATCGACCAACAACCCATGGTGTTCATGTCAGCAAGGTCCAAAACCTTGTATTACATATTTGGTACAGGGTTGGACACAATAAGCATTTGATTGATTGAACGTTTTGGACGGAACCTCCTCTGCTGGTCCGACACAAACCTGCACCACCGACTTGTGAGACGTGTCGCGAAACGTCTCGCGTCCGAGGAAGGCGGGAAACAACTCGGAGGCGATCCCATGGGAGCCCATCCCTCAGGCGGGATGACGCTAACGTCATCCGAGCGGCCAAACGGGGAAGGATCACAAGGATGAGGAAGGATTTTGAGCAGAATCCCCCCCCATTCGGCATGGATTGAAAGAACCTCTTCATATGGAGGGGTTTATGAATGAAGATCGTACAGTAGTAGGAATGATCACATACTTGACGGATGTGTGTGCGCAGGGAATTTTCTGTACGCTGTGCCCGTCGTGAAGGAACTTCGCTCCGTTGCAGCGAACGCGGAACCAAATGTCATCAAAGGTGGTTGTATGGATCGAAACGAAGAATTCTGGAGGAAGAGAGTTTACATCGATCTAATTTACTTAATGTGATTTGCAGCCTGAGCCCCCAGCTTCGCAGATCGGCGATGCCATAAGGGTCGCCGTCGCTGTCGTTGTTAGTCCGTGCAAAAAAAGACCCCTTCCTGCGCGCTTTTTTTGTACTTCTTGCGCGCAAGCAGGCGAATAAACGCTACAAAAGAACGATAGTATGGACCAGTTGTTTTTGCATTAGGGACCCCAAAGCACTGGACATATCGATGTGTTTGATCCTCAGCTAGCAACACATGTAGTATTTATGGCGTGTGTTTTTTTGCTGTGGGATGCAAAAAGCATGGTTTTTGCAAAACACTGAAATGTGAGATGGTTTTGTTATTTGTAAACCTTGACCAACAAATTGTCAAAAATGATCAAACACAGACCTCCGGAAAGCAGCTCAAAGTTGCTTATGATTTCAAGGCTGATATCAGGCTGATATATTATATAGCTTTGATTATGCAACTGGCGAGCGACAGACGCCTTCCAGAGGCCGAAACAAACTCTTATTGGTGTGATTTCTTCTTTCTGGAGGATTGGTGATGCAGTTGGTGATGCAGAAGATGGGTTACGCCCTGGTACAGCAAGCTAGCTTGACTATGCTATTAAATACAGCCGCCGGATTTCGAAGGCTAGAGACTAGAGCCCACGTCCTTGGAAGGATCTGTCACGGCATCGGCAACATTCGGCCCATAGGTCCTGCGTGGGGAGGCTGCGCCACGCAAGGGGGGAGCTTCCCATCAATTTCCTGGGCGACGCTTTTCCTGGGAACTGAGTAAACATTTGGACACTTGTGCAAGTTTTTGGCAGGCTTGGCATTCCGACATCACAGCGACATCGCCTCAGGGCGTACCGGAGTCCCTGTCAGGAACACACCAGCCCGCTGATACTGTTACGCATTGTTTCTTCAGGCTTTTGTAGGGGATGGCGGATTGCACATTTAAGTTGGCACACTGCGAGGGGTTGTTGGCGGTCTTTTGGTCCTCATGACATGCCCGGATCCGTCTTTTGAGACTCACAAACTTCCCCCAAAAGAGGGATGAATGCCTCAAACTAGTTGAAAGTGCTCAGGAGTGAACTATAAAGAGTTTTTTGGGGGCTGGGCTGTCCCAGTGTTTCTTTCTCCCGGAGGGGTTTGATAGCCCATCTTCTGCTCCAGCGAGGTTGCCGACGGCCTTCACCTCTTTCGTGGTGTCGCAGCGTTGTCCAGCGTCGAAAAGCATCGAACAGCCGCCGCTCCCACACCATCCAATGCCCAAAAAGCGCTGTAATGTCGTGCAGTATGGTCGACTAGAACAGGCGGCCCAAATAAAGGCCGGCCTTTTGAAGTCAGAAGACTGCTCACCAAGCCACTGCTGGAAACCGAGTCTTACGGAAACCCAGAACTCCCCGCTCATGCGTGCCGTGTGGTGACCTCAGCACTGACTCAGCACTTCCAGCTGTTCCTGAAAAAACTGTTCCCCACTGCGTCAGGGGCTCTCCAATGATCTCTTCGGCCCCTACGTGGGCGATGTGGGCTTCGACCCAGCGGGCTTCGCAGCTCGGATGGACACCGAAAGGACACGCGCGCGCGGCCGCGCGCGCGAACACCGCCACTGGAGTGGCGGAAGGTTTGAGATGGTTAGAGTTAGAGCAAAAGAACCCTTGAGAGACTCCCTCAAAAAACAATACACTTGTCACTTGTCTTCACTTTCTTCCTGGAGGTTTTTTGGCCTGGATGGGTGTGGTTGTTGTTGTTGTGGTGGTGCAACCTATATAGGGACTGGTTTCAGGAGGTTACGGCTGACTGAATGGACATCCCGTTGGGCCACTCACTTGTTGCATAATGAATTGCGAGATTATGTGTCAATCAATGCAGCAACCCACGTCTAACAATAAACCCCAAAACGAAGACTCACCACCAGGGTCCCCAATACAAATTCACATGCTTTGCATGACATGTGACATGGACCTCGAATCAGGGAGTGGGTCTCTGAGCATTCCTGATTATATCATATTTTACCCATCTTAAGGATCTCCCCAGTCCTGGCCAAGCCAAGGCCAAGAACACTCGCTTGCTGCCATGGCCTGACTGGCATGATTGATAAACCACAACATCATCACGATCTATCGTATTTGTTTGATCTATCTCAAAGGTTTCAACTCTAAAGCACAGTCATCGGACTTTAAAATATGTACTGATCACATGCGATTGCATCATAATGATCACAGTGCTGTATCAACCATATTCCCTAGTTTGGTGGGTCAAAGCATGAAACAAACAACAGTACTTAATATATCTTTTGTTCTCCGGAGATGGTCTATTGTCAGCACTCGAGTCACTCTCCCTTGTGGTTCAGCGGCGCCAGGTACCGTGAGGCCGAATTGGCTCATGGGCGCGTTTGCATGTTGGCGGTGTGGAGGCTCAGGCCCTGCAGTTGATGGAAATATAGTGAACTATACGGAAATCCTCGGTTGGATATAGGAGAGGGTACTGGGGTTGGAGGTGTAAGGATCAAGGCACAACTGAACCATTGGAAGGGTTCTTACGGTAATTGCTCAGGGCTAGGTTTGATCGAAGTTGCTCGCACTGGCATCCGCGCGCGTTTAATTCGCTACTATTTGCAGCACATTGATGCCTCTGGAGATATTCCAAGTGCGCAGAAACTCTTTGGCTGGCGCGGGTGCTTTCCTCGACTGCGCTCTCGTTGTGGCACTGTGCACATTTTCGGACTGAAAGGGACACCTCGTGCTTTGGTGGTTGGAAGTCGACTTTTCATGGCAGGTGCAGAGGATCGGCTTGCTGAACTTCAATGTAAATTTTGTGGCAGGTGCAGCACTTTTGGACTCGGTGGTCGTCTTTGGCGTGCTTGCAGTGAATCGTGTACTTTGGACGTGCAGTGCAGCTTTCTATTAGCATTTGGGAGAAGTATCGCCCAAAAGCTTGGTTTTGGCATCCCGAACTTGTTTTTGGAAGTGCTTTTCTTTAAGTATCGGCTTCTGTAGGGTGGAGCAAGGGGTGTGAAAGGTGTTCAAAAATACCCGAATTGCGATATTGCCTGAGCACATGTAAGGAACTCTTCCACACGTCATGATTAAACATACTAGCTCAGGACTTGGGAAGTGCAATTTGGACTTGGTGGCGGTCTCAATCTCTTACCGTGATTTCGGATCAACCATGAGTTTCTAGCCCACACTGTAAAGGTGCGCAGCAAATCAAAATGACTGTTTCGATCATTTTTGCTCACTAAGAAACTGACACTATATTAACTATAGATATAACCTTCACATTTGGTAAAATTATTGAACCGCCGTCGCCGTTTTGGTACATGCTTATGCACAATATCGGCACAACAGTTTGATTTTCGAGCTATCAACGGGCGGAATTCAAGACATCAAGTCAAGACAATGGCGGGACCTTTCCAGGTGCATTTTGGCTGACATTCCCGAGGAATGCAGGGTGTACCCATCGGCCAAGGGCTTGACAACAAAGGAGCCACAGAGTTTCTTGTTTCCAAGACACGACGGCGGACGAGACTGACACAAAGAGGGATGTGCTGATCACGTACCTGTATAAAATTGGGGTGGGTGGTTGAACGCACTGAGATTGAGCCATCCGGGCTGTTGTCCAACCATGATTTTGTCAAAGAGACGGATCTGCTTAACGTCGGGCTATCCAACCAGATCGAGCGTGCCATAGCGTGCCAAAACGTTGGCAAACCTGCTGGCATGCAATGTCTTGGGGAACATCTTCTGCTCTAACTACGCGGAACAATTGTATACTGCGAAGCAGAAATTCAAGACCATGACCGTTGGTCAGCTACAGGGCCGATCTTTACCAGAAGGGACAAGTGCTTCGAAGATTTGAAGTTTGGAGTTTGGACATCATTCCAGCCCAGCCTAGGGGTCTGAACTCTTGTGGAACGCCTGCTCAGTCTTGAGGTCCATGAAAGTTGCGCATGGTTCCTTCTGAGGCTCATGTTGACTCTGCCATGAGCAGGCTGATGGATGAGGAACGTTGAATCCCTTTGCCCGTTTTCTAGATGAACTTGGCTGCTTTGATCGATATGGTTTTGGTCGGAACCATCATCAAACAGTGGGATGATGAGGGACGCAACACGGTTTCAGCACGAGCACTAGCAGTCGCACAACCGGTCGACGATAATTGGAAGCGTCAACATCAACAGGCCTCGAAACTTGTATGGCTTGTATGGCGTCAGCCAACTTGTAAGGCATCGCAAAAGTCAGCCCATTTTGATCATTCGAGTGAAGCAGGGGAAATTCCGAGGTCCCGGAAGAGTGCAGCCTTCCAGTCTGTTTTTCACAAATTTCCCAGAAGGTCACCTCTACCTTTGATATGTTTAATCATTGGTTGGGAAGTGATATGTTTCAACTATGATGCTATGAACTGTCGCAAAACTTATGACTTGCTTAGGCAATCTTAGGCACCTTATTTTTCCCTTTTCATGTCACCATACTCGCGATTGATTCTAAAACTAAACTCAAGTTTGCTCCAACCCCAACCATTCTTTGCGCATTTCAGCCTTTGCCTTTGTGTAACAGCTCAGCACGACCCACTGGACCTGATACTGCAGCGTTGAACAGGTTCCTGTATGGATGATGGTAGATGAGGATTTTGTGAATCACGATGGGTGAATTGTTCCCTGTGTTTTGGCAAGCACAATTGCTGTGCAGTCCATGACCAAACCTCGCGTGTTCATCGTCATAGATGTGGAACTCCCCAAAGTGCTGTTGGGCCAAACCTCTGGCGCTGTCTGTGAAGCCACCCAAGCGCGGACTTTCAACCTGAGACTTTGGGCTACACCGTGCAGACCTCCGGCGCTAAGCAGGGAGCCCCGAGTGGACTTGTAGTTCAGGTCCGATATCTTAGGTCCTCAAAACAAGACTTAGGTACGTGGAGTTGAACAGCTTCTTCTCTTGGAGCAAGAAGGGAATCATTTCAGCCTTCCAGGAAAGGGCTGTGAGTTTAGTTGGGATCTGATATGCTGGGTGCTTTCTTGATGAGTCTACAGATCATCAGGGTCCAGAGCCCTCATGCTTTACACCACTCCGACTTCAAGTCCGGGATGAAGGTCACCATTGTGTTCAGCATATCCCTTGATTAGGACATACTAGGACCACCTGAGCAATGATATAAACCCCGCGCAATTGTGTTTAGTCTGTGACTTACCCTAACTTTTTGCTGAAGCAGTCTTTACAGACGGCCCGCACGGCTTTACGATCTTGTCGGAGTTTGTTATTAGGTATACATGTGCATCAATCTTGCCAGGAACGATACCCTGGAACCATACCACTCCCTTCAACAAGTATGTATAAGATGGCACGTTCAGGGTTCCCAAACTGTAGCTTACAGAGGGACACAGCCAATGTCGGGGCAAAAAGACGTCGCTCAATCCTTTTGTGCTCTAGGTGGCGTTTCCATATCATGTTTGTCATGTTTGTACTTGCTGGTAGTGGCATTTTCCCATTCTTAAACCCGCGTCTGGAACGATACGGGAACGATACCGGAACGAGACCCGGAACGATACCTCACACGTCCATTTCCCAACACTTGCCTACACGGCCTACACGATTCCCACAGCACCCCAGAACAGTGCTTCCCACTCTCTCTTTTTTCCCAGATAGCAAGAGCACTTGGCGCTCTTGCTTCAAGTGTAGGAAGAGGTCCTGTGTGCGCTTTGGAGCCTGGGTGCTGGTGCGCTGCAGGGTGCCGCTGCCAGATGTGCACGGTCGTGTGCACTTTCGAGCCTGCGCTGCAGGGTGCTTGTGCCAGATATGTATGGCCGTGGGCGCTTTGGAGCCTGCGTTCTGGTGCTGCAGGGTCCCACGAATACCTTCTTGCCCGGCGTACTTTCGGAAATTCGTTGGCATGGTGCTTCGCGCCAAAGAGCGGAACAGAGCGGCGGCAGCAGCACGGCAAACAGCAACAGCACTAGCTCTGAGCCTACTTCTTGAGAAGGGTGGCTTGGTTCTAGGCATTGGGATTGGGCCTCGGAGCCGCAAGTGGGAGCCACAAGAGGCGGCCAGCATGGAATAGCGTAGATTCGAGATAGCGTAGACCAAATCAACCTGGGGTTTTTGTTCTTGCTCAGCTCTTTAGATGATTTTTTGATGAACCACCCGCAGTGGGCACTTGGCGGAGTGATCTTTTGATGACTCCCAGTTCGGGTACGCAGCGCATTCCGGGAAAATGACGTGAACCAGCGAAGTTCCTCTACTAAGGATTGCGTTTTTTCTCCAAGATATTAGGCAACTGATAGCTTTACATTTTTTTGCTCAGTGGCCCCTGGCCCCATGAAGTTTTGAGTGTCAGGCAGCCACGGCCCCAGTTAACAAAGACCCCATGACAAGCAGCAACTTTTGGTACAAGTCAGTAACAAAGATTGAATTGTATGTTCCTAGGTGGTTGATGCGTTCATAATTGTTTTAACACGTCTCATTTCCTCCGTTTTGACAGCTCGTTTCCTCCATCTCTTGGGCCCAGCTGAGCCTCGAGACGGAAAACTTGTCTCAGTCAAAGGAGTCGAAAGCGCCGACGCAAACATTTTGGCTACCCGAACAAACGCAAAACACTTTATGGAAAGAAACACATCACCTGGTGTATCTGAGAAGACCGAAGTTGAGGCCAGAATTGGGTTCAAAATGATTCCAATTCGGCGCAGCACCGCGATACTCATTGCTTTGGGGATGGTTCAGAAGAAGACCATGACCGGAAACAGATGTGGTACCAATGTGGCACCAATCGGTCCTACAAATCGACAGTCGTAAATATATTTTGAATCATGTCCACGGTGAACTGGTACAGGATTCCAAATCTTAAAAACATTTAAAAACCATCCAAGATCCTCCACATCTGCCACGCTCCATACATGGCACATTTACCTACATCGCTGTGGTTACAGGTGTGTAGAAGTGTGTGCAATATCATGCAATATCTATTCCATACATGGAGTGTTTTGGCTGGTGCTTTCCATCTCCTTCATATGTCAAACGCTGGTCCTCTCTTACCCCCCTTTCTCCCAAAAAGGTCGAGACCGTCGGCACCGTTGACCGGTTCCGCTGGCGCCCCCAGGTTCGAGCCCTTCATCACCCGCTATCCGACCGACTCTTCAGACCCTCTGAAGGCGGCCACCCAGGTGCGCCTGAAGGCTGATGAGGGCGGAGCACTTCGATGAGGAACATGTTAAGATGATTTCAAACAAAATAAAGACCTCCAGGAATAGACAAATCAATACAAGTCATCAGATGCTACATGTATGTCATGGTTGTTGTTTTTCTGCAGACCTTTGGTGGAGTTTTACGCTCTTCACCACCTACTGTGCGATACCCATGACTGGTTGGACAGTATGCAATGGAAGGGCCAACCAAAGAAGTGGCTTGTGATGGTCTTCGGCCGAGCTCCAAGTACTCACAGTCGTGCAAGTGCATGTGATAGGCTACTGTTTTTTTACTGTTGCTCCCCCATGCAGGGTTTTCAATCACACGCTTGGCATGGTCACCCAAAAACGAGTCTCCACACAGCTTCGTTCTCGGCGACGTCTCGAAGGACTCTTGGAGCCGTCTCCAGGTGCCCATCGTGGGGTGGCTGCAGATCCTTGTGGTCATCGCCCTGTCAGAGCTTTGGCGCTATGAGCACCTTGCCGGAGCGTTTATGGGTGTCGATTTGATTTTTATGGTTCTTTATGAGGAAGGAATTTGAAGTGGGTGGGAGAATCATTGAAGTTCACTTTAGAGTCAAGCTTTTGAGTTTTGTTTGAAGCGCTTTTTGCAGCCATTTCAACCACCCTTGCCACCCTACCCATGGCAAGGAGAAGGGAACCAAGCATCAGAGGATCGGATATGGGCAGAGGTGTTGCGCAGGTTGAGGAATATGTTGTTTTCTACATAAAGTAACAGCAACATTCGTGAAAGTGCAACAGAGCCAGTTTGCAGAACATATTACCATCCAGTGTTTCTAGCGGTCCATATTCCACTTCTCTTCAACAAAGGGTGCGGCTTAGATTTTCACTCACCCCTTTGGGGGGAAAAATCATTTCAAAATCGGTTCACCCATTGTTGGCACAGCACAGGGTACAGCACTTCGACTTTGCCCTCGACAGGTGTGAGGCTTCAACAGACCCAATCAAACCGTTTCACCTTTCACTGGCTCGGCGGTGAGGGTATAGTCGCTTCTTCGATTCCCGAGCCACTTTCAGACTTCTAAGTGGAGCGCGTGGTGGCGCGCGCGGTCAGGAATGTGATCTCCAAGTACAGCGTTGGGGCCTCGGGCGGATCGAACGTGGTCGTCCCACTCAGCACATCCGATTGAGTGTCAAGACCTCCAAGCCTCCGATTGCATCAGTGGTCGTTGCTCCCCCGAAGCGTTGTTTCCTGTTGAGAAGAGCCCGACCCGCCCGACTCTTTAGAGGGTTGGGTACTCATGCTCAGCATGCTCCATGCTTAGGGGCTGGTGGTGGTGGTGGGGCCAAGTTTCACTATAAAACATTTCGCTGGAGGGTAGCTGTAAACCCTGGTCGTGCAACAGTCACACCATGTCACACCCGTTCGCAGCTCGTATCCAAAGATACCCCAATCCAGCAAGATGGGATAAGATGGGAGCCTCAATGATATATATATAACTATATATTATATATATACTTATATATATAATATATATATATATAATAATATACTATATATTATATATATATTAATTCTTTGTTGTACTTGTCACCTGAGCAGTTTAGTGGTGACCACCTGGAGGCTTGTCATATGACTGGTTCGCGTAAGGAAAACCATATGCCGATGCCATAGGTGTTGAGAGCCTCTCACCGATCGTATCGACCGTCGAATCGAACGTATGCCGGACCCAGGGAGGATCCATTTGGGTCAATGAGGGGAGCCAGTGGAACAGAGAGGAATCATCTAGGCTGATATGAGGTCCTTACTACTGCATACTACTGCTATAGTAGATCTTGAAATCTTTGAGATTCTTTCGGATCTCGACCGCTGATGGAAAAGACATTGAAAAACACTGGGGCCAACACATGACTTACGACTTACCGCGCTGCGGACCGCGCTGCGGACCGCGCTGATGCTGCCACAGCCGGCTCTCCATCGGTGTCTCAGGAAGGTGTTCAGCCGGGTGATCTGGGTTTGGGCAGCCCAGACCGTCGTTTGGTGTCGTTCAAGAACATGTTGTTCGAGCGGGTGTTTTTTGTTTCAGATATTCTGTCTTCCTATGTGTTTTCTGTTATTTTTTTTTTCAATTGATGCAAGTGCGATACTGCCTGCGTTGAGTTGCACAAAAACAGTGCCGTGCAGTTGCAAGTGATGAGTTACTTGCAGGCGGAGATCTAGAATAAATGCATGTACAAATGTACAAATACGGACATGTTTTGCCGCTTCAACAAGAATAATTGGGCAGTTCAACTGTTCCCACAAAGATCAGTTGGAATCGGTGTGAATTCCTACCTTCAACCTGGTGGTGTGGCATGCTGAGAACCAGCAACAAATATCGAGACTTGGGGTGGCCAAAATGCCTACATTGCGTCGGTGTAGGGGAAGGATATTTATTATACTGCTTTAGGGATGTTAACAACCCCCACTTTCGGGGTCTTTGGGTGCCAGTGTTGGAAGAAAGTATTTGATATGATCAAGGGATTGGCAAGTTTTCTCAAGCAGAACAGCCCTACTAGCAAGCTCTCGGGCAAAGCCTTTGAAGATCTTCTAAGTTAAGATCCAAGATTATCCCATTCTCCTTCAGATCCAGTAATGTCCAACATCATGAAGTATGCCGAAGTGAAGCACGTTCAAGCCATGCTTCGTCCAACCAGCGCCGGTCGTGCGATCCGTCAGGTTGGAACCCCACGGCACCCACGGGCTCCAAGCGACCCAAGTGGTTCGGCCCCACCTTCTCTGCGAACTATGCGCCAGAGGAGCCGGGTGGGAGCAGGTCAGGAGCATCCCGATCCATCCAGCTGGTGAACAGCAGTGGAGTAGCATGGTCAAGGGGATGTCAAGGGGTGTGCAAAACCCTGAGAGGGGACCACGCAGCACACATACAGGTGCCAATTGAATGCACGTTTGGACATTTTTCGAAGCATTGGACACAGATAGGGAAACAAACAGCTTTGCCATGTCAAAGTTGAAAGGTGGGTGAAAGAGGTTTTAATCAGCAGTTTGACTTGGTTTTCCTTTTGGATGTTCTTGTGAACCCATTAGGATTAATTGTATCTATCATGTTCCATCCGTCACTTCTGTTGGGGGTTCTCATTTTGTCCAACTAGGAAGTTGATTTGGGCCGGGCCTTTCATTAAGTAGCAAAGTTTAAGGTTCTTTGCTAGCCTATCATCGTCACTCCCAACAACATGGTAAATTTAGTTAGTTTCACTGGTGGGGAGATATGTCCAGTTTCCAAATTCACAGTCTTCCAAGTTGCCGGTACTTTAACCGACCAAGTTCATGTGTTTCTCAGCTTGTAAGACTCTCTGAACGGGAGGGAAACTTACGCACCGAACATGGAAACACACAATTCTTCCAATATATGCTCACGACGTGACATACCCTCCGAGTCATCATCCCTTACGTCCAACGGGAGTCCCAACCTCTTTGTTGGCCTGAAACGGGGCGCTGCGGCTGGTCTAAAGGTTAAAAGGAACCTGCTTGGGAACAATAACTGGTAGAAACTGGTCTGAGGAATTATTTGGGGTGACGTCCACCTATGGTCGCTTCGGTGCAATTCACCAAAAAGACAGAGGAGACTCAAATCATCCAACCGAAGTGAGTGTTTCTTTTTGAAACCACACGGTTCCACGCCCCGAGGAGTGGAACAACATGCGCTTGAGGGAGATCAAGCATTGCCGATTGGCCCGGACGCCCGGACGACCGGGGGGACCGAACGTCTGCCGGTTGGCGTGGGCTTGGCACCGTGTTGACCGGACTTGTTCATGAAGCCTCGATGGCGGCTGCCCCTGCCCCTCTTTCTTCTGTTGTGCCTACAAAGGTTCTTTAAGCGTTGTTTTCTACAAAGTCCACTGTGCTTATCTATAGTATATAGCTGACGCCCCCATGGAATTGAATGCAGTTGGGGGGGTTGCCACGACTCCCTTTCCTTCTAGGCCTGCAAAACGTCAAGGTTTCCGAACGGAAAGGAGAGTATCGGGTGACCTAGTTGTTCCGAACCGGTAACATGCGATATGATCGATATGGGTCAGTCCCATTCAGCCATTCTTAGCACAGCCATGAGGTCAATGTCCATCCAAACTGTACAACCTGATAATAGGTCAATCGTTCAGGATAACTCAGGAGTTTGGTTCAATTGGATCGCTAGAAGTGAACGAAGTGAAGAGTTGCTGACCCCACGATGGATGTCAAGAACTCCGGCCGCACGGTAGGACTCACATTCACCAAGTGAGTCGGGCCGCCGGAAGGAGTGAGTCATAGAGAGTCAGACATATGTCATTGATAAGAACTGCTTCTGTTCAAGTCTTTCGCTTTCAGGGAATCGCACATGAATCACATGTAGCCTATCATACATCCGATGTAGCTCTTCAGAACTTCATCCCCTTCTGGGGCCACTGGGCCTCCGCCTGCTGGCTGCGCCGGTGGTGGCTATCCGGGGATCATCGGGCTCTGAGGCCATGGTGGGCTTCTTCTTCATGGTGCTCACGAACGCCTCCACCGGCCCGGGCAGCCCAGTCGACTGGACGATGGTGCTGCTTTGAGGCTGTCACCGCTGATTTGGAGCAGTGAGCACGGCTTTTGGACATCGCTCCCAAGTCGCATGTTTTTTTTTGTTCCGGAGAGTCTAAAAGTCCCAAAGTGAGAATTGGACAGTCCCCGCGCCAGTGCGGATTTGGGAGTCTTGAACAATTTAGAAGCCCAGGTGGGGAGAGGCCCATGGCTGGTTCCCATTTGACCGGAGATGTTCATAGACACGCAAGCATGACCCAGGTTCGGTTAGTTGATGCTGGATAGGGTATGGACGTCAGGCGTTTGCAAAACCCATAGGGCCACAATACCTGACAAAAATCCAAGGTCTTGTCAGACAACAATATTGCGGATTCAGGCTTTGTTGCGAATCATCCCTCATGCCTATATATAATATATACACGGGCTCCTTCATGTGGAAACATCGTCAAGCACACCTGCTGGCACATCTCCGTTGCACATCTCCAGAATCTTAGATTCTTAGTACTTCGATCTTGTTTGTTCTTGTCGCTAGCAGGTTAGAGGCCATGGCTCTTAGCTTGGAGGCCATCGCTATAACTATTAGGTTGGAGGCCATCGCTATTAGGTTGGAGGCCATCGCTATT